TGTCATAAAGATATTACTCGACTGTGATTGGTTGATTTCAGTGCAGTTAATCCCAACCAGCAGTGCAATTTTCTGTAATCACAGTGCATTTTTTTGTAATCACAGTGCAATTTTCTGTAATCGCAGTGCAAAAATCTGTAATCGCAGTGCAAAAATCTGTAACAAACTGATCTGATTTGTGGAAAAACATTGTGATGATTAAATCAACCAATCAGTTTAAAGCAATTTAGTTTAAAGAAGTAACGGTCACAGATTGCTTCAAAACAAAACAAACATGGCGCCGCGCTACACAAAGTAAAAGTTGCCTTCGGTGGGAAATATGGCTTTTATCTTTATTCTTAAATGGAAAAGCATTTACCTTAAACAAGACTGACAAAAATTACTTAGTTGAGTAGAATTTTCAAGCTGTTAGCGTTGTATAATGTGATATGACAATTAACACAGCCAGGAAAAGTTTGCCTGTGCAATTCGCGAGTTTTTCAAAGACCTCAGATAGCACTCGTCATTCAGATTCGTGCTATTTTGAGGTCTTTGAAAAACTCACTCGTGCATGTTATATCCAAATTGCACTCGAAACCATGCCATTACCTATACTAATACCTATACTTTGCCTGAGGTTACTGCTCCAGAAATATAGAGAGCTGACTGACTAGAATAGGCTCTCCTTAACAACAACACAGTTTCTTCAAAGCCATTTTGTATCCTTCACGTATTGTTTTGTCTCCAATTCCATAGATGATCGGATTGAATGAACAACATACGAGAAAATACAACGGCATCGACCATATCACGTGAAATTGAGCCTCCTTCCTGCCATGCGCTACCATTCTTTCTAACACACTCAATGGGAAAACTGCTATGAAGAACTGTGCTAGAACTACCACGCTGACAGTTATCATTTTGGTATTTTTCTCAATTCGCAAATGTTGATGACTTGTTGTTGCTCTTTTCGCCGCATCGTCCGAGAGATTGGTTGTTCGTGGGGAAAATAATCTCCTGAGATTTTTCTGATGAAGAACCAATGAGTAACACATCTTCGCATAAAGCACAATTAGAAACATCATAAAGACCAGTGTTTGACCAATATTCAAAATCCAACCATATATAATAAAATATATGTTATCTTCCCACTTATTACTACATAGCTCTGAACTAGCCGCAAATTGTTGTGAGAGAAATTTTGGAATATAGAGAAATAAGGAAGCAATGTAAAGCAATGCTACGATATATTGCAGTTTTTTCCGGCTTAATCTTGGTTGAAGTGGCTGTGTAACGGCCTTGTGACGAAGAACTGCAATCACGACTAAAATTGACAGCTCTGTATTAAAGAGACTACCGACCAGCGGGAAAATTATAACGCATGATACCGTCCTGAGGCTATTGGACCAATATTGATTTTCTATCCAAGGTCCTACTGTAAACATGAGATTTCCTGACAGTAGTAAAAGCATATCGCAGATAGCAAGATGAAATACAAGGAGATAGTAGTTTGATTGAAAACGACGCCGACCACTGCAAACCGTCAAGATGACAAGAATATTACCACACAAGCCAAACACTTCAATGATTACATAGCAGATTGAAACGATCAATGCGTTTGAAAAATTTATTTCAAAGAAGTTGTTCAGATGTGTTCCGTTCATCTTTCCTCACAATGTTCCGTTGTCGTCGACGAAGCACGGCAGGATGCACGACTCTGTAAATTAAGTGACATAACTTCGCGTTTTTTAATTTTAATATTTTGACAAATAATCAGTTTTCCGCAAAGATATTAAAATAAACTTGACGCAGGTACAAATTTTAATTTCGTAAGCAGATGAAATTTAAAATGCCGAAAGAAAGCAAGATTATACTTGAACCAATGTGAGTGAAGGCCTTTTTCGTCACTATCGTAGCATTTTCTAACTTGTGTCGAAGTCGTTAGTTCCACTCCAGTGTCTGGGAAAAGAAATACGTTTCTGTACGGTACGGTTGACGTGCAAGACAGCCTTTAATATCGGAGTCATGCAGTTTGAACTTTGATTATTTAATCTAAAATAGAAAGGTGGTTGATTTGAATATGTGATGACTTGTGGTAAAATATATATATATATATATATATATATATATATATATATATATATATATATATATATATATATATATATATATATATATATACATATATATATATATATAGTTTTTCGTTTTACCTGAAAA